TGCGCTTGAGTTTGAATAGACCACTTATTACCTTTGTGATTTACCGACGTGATTGGTGACCTTTGATTATCGCAGCCATTATCAAAAGTTCAATGCGTTTCCATCCCTTCAAAGTGATGAGATAACGTAGTCACCATTCATCCTGCATTATGCACGTGATACACGTAGATTAAAGATTATTATAATGAATTATGATGCTCTTTCACACTTGTGTTGTCTTATTCATAATATAGTGGGCAAATGATTGTGATGAATGAGTTTATTATTAAGCACTAGGCGTAATTAAGCCTCAAAAAAGTAATATAAAATACAAGCCATTGACCTTTTAATTCTCTTTGAGAGGACACTTTATTTGTCATATTTTCGGCATTAATTGTTTGATTGTGGAGCATGTTGTCATCTGTCACTTCCTCTTACCAGAATTTCTTCTCACGTGGCCGTCATTGTCACTCAAAGATCGATATCATATGAAAACAAAATAAGTTTCTTTAAGATTCTACAGAAGGGCTATACTGAGCCAGGCTTGGAGTTTTGTTTGAGTTGAAGATACTGCAGCTGAGACTGACAAAAACAATACACACAAATTGCTGACTCATCTTCCACTCAGAGCTAGCCTGGCTAATTCAAGTACAGGGTCCATGTGAAAGAACCATTTAATCCACCCGCATGCAACCTCTCTGTGTCAAAAATTATTCACAGAATCGTATCTTCCTAAAATTGGGCGAGTTTGGTTTAATATTCCTACCCTCTTCTCGATCATATTTCTAAAATATTTATTTATTTAATTATTTAAAAAATATTAGTATATTTTTTTAATTATTTTTAGACTCCTTAAGTTTATCAATTTCATTAAATACTCTAAAAAAAAAATTTAAAAATTAACAAAAATATCCTCATCCACTCATACTTGACATATTCTGGTAACCACTATCGGTGGTAGCCGTAATCTGTCACAACGACCTACAAATGATTGCAACCGACAGGTAATTCACCGATCTGGCCTTTTTCGACCAGATCCACAGTGGATCTAGTCGAAAAATGCCACCGAGTTGTTGATGGCCAGATCTGGACTTTTGCGGCCATCGACGGCCAGATCTGGCTGTTTTCGACCAGATCCGTGGTGGATTTGGCCGAAAAAGGCCATATCTATGCCTACCTGACAGATCCGACCGGTCTGCGTCGTAACACCATTTTTTGGCCAGATTTCAATGGTGGTGGTCGGAATCTGGCATTGTGGATGGGTGGGGGTGTTTTTTATAAAATTTTTATATATTGGGGTGTTTAGTTAAATTAGCAAACCTAGGGGGTTTTTTTTGTTAATTTTTAAATTTTACCTCGTAATACGCCTCTATTCAACTGCCCAATATTATTCCCAAAATCTTATCTAAAATAACAAAACAAACAGACCCATGGATTGCATAAAATCAGGATTTCTTACTTTTAAGCATCTGTTACAATATAATATTTTTCCTTATTTATAAATTTCTATACTTAGTTTCATTGTACACCTATATATTTTGTAAAACAGAATACAGAATCAATACACACAGAATTATTCAAACACGTCTCTCTTATTTCTTAACATGGTATCAGAGCCAGATTGGTTATATTTTATGCATTTCAAATTTGAAGCTTATACTCATTTAACGCATTTTTTTGCCCTTGTCCAAAATCAATTTAATACCACTGTTAAAATAATTAGAACTGATAATGGACAAGAATTTCTCTCTCACCAATTTCAAACCTATCTTCTTAATCATGGCATTATTCATGAATGTACTTGTGTTGAAACTCCTCAACAAAATGGTATTGCGGTGTGTAAACACCGGCACCTTCTTAATGTTGCCCGTAGTCTACGTTTTCAAGCACACTTACCCCTTTATTTTTGGGGTGATTGTGTTCTCACCACTGCATACCTCATTAATCGCACTCCCAATCGTACTCTCCAAAATAAATCACCCTTTGAGGTTCTTTTCAACAAAACACCCAACTATAATCACCTCTAGGAGTTTTCACAAGCCGAGTCGAGCCGAGTTTTTGGCTTAACGAGCTCAGCTTGTGAAATAGGATAAAGAAATGAGCCGAGTTCGAACCGAGTCGAGCCACAAATTTTATGGCTCGGCTCGGCTCGTAATGACTTTAAAAGTATTTCGAGCCGGTTTACGAGCCAAGTTCAAGCCGGCTCACGAGCCGGTCCAGAAAATTCAATTTTTTTATTTATGGTAAACCCTTTTAATACTGTCGATAATCAAGTATTGAAAAAGGTAATAAAATAGTATATGTTCATTGTAAAGTTAATAAAGTAACTGACATGCTTATCACATCTTTTTGACTTTTACATTATTTTACAAAAACCAATGTTTTTCATCTAACTTTGGCACTTTGCATATCTTCGATCTAAACCTTCATCTTTTTTACTTTTATATTGTTTTACACAAACCAATGTTTTTCATCTGACTTTTGGCACTTTGCATATCTTCGATCTGAATCTTCAATGCCAATGATGCCTAAAAGTATCACACAAGTTAAAAGAAGAAAAGACGGTGACACCATGCCGATCAACGACAACAACACAATCAATACACAATCACTTTCACCGAAAAAAACCACCTGTTATAAAAGAGAGTTCACAAAAATCATGAGAAGCTAATGGGTTTCAAAAAAATCAATCATACACAAGTAACAAAAACTCAACAAGATTCAAAACAATCAAACTTACTGCGAACAAGACAATGGTTGACGACAGAGCAGCTGGGTTTTACAGCAAGGACAGAAAAGGAAAACAAGTAGATTTCAGTGTTTCATGACGAGAGTTGGAAGGGTAGATGGGTTTGACGGCGGCGAGTCTGCAACAAACACTCCGGCGAAGCAGATGGTATTGACGACGACGACAAGGTACACCGGAGACGGTTGGAAAATGTGTTGACAATTTTTGGAATTGGTTTGATTTTAAGGCAAATGGTTCATGTCAACGATTTTAAGGATTTTAAAATCGGGGGAGGGGGGGGGTGTCTTTGTCATTTTTGAAAACTTTTTGTTTTAAAAATTTCAGTATAATCCCCCATATTCAGTAAACCCCCCATTTATTCCAGCCAGGCTTGACTTGCGAGCCTAACAAGCCGAGCCGAGGTAGGCTCGAACTTGGCTCGTTCTCTCTCTCGAACCAAGCCAAACTGGCTCGAAACCATACGACCCGAGCCGTTAACGAGCCAGACTCGAGCCGGCTCGCGAGCGGCTCGATTTGTTAACCAGCACTAATCACCTCCGTGTGTTTGGGTGCCTCTGTTTGCACAAACTCTTCGTGCTCACCGTGATAAATTCCACACCCCCTCGGTGCCTCTAAATGTATCTTTCTCGGGCCCACAAAGCATACAAACTCTACAATCCTGATACACAGTCCGTTTTCTATTCTCATGACGTCACCTTCTATGAACAACAATTCCCTTTTCAGGATATTCCAGACACCTCTTCCTCTCCTTCTCCTTCTCCATCTCCAATTATTCCTCTTCCCATCCCTGAACCCGTTTTACCTACTTCCCAAACACCTCTTAACCCTCCTGAAACCCCGCCTTCCCCACCTTCACCTCCAATTGTCTCCCGTCCTCGTCGCCACACTACACGGCTTGCCTATCTCTAGGACTACATATGCCCCACCTTACATACAAAGCCCACGGCATCTTCACCTGCTACAACGGCTTTAGGTACTGCTCATCCCTTATCTACCTTTCTTTCATATTCTCGATTTTCTCCCTCACATATTACTTATTTAAATGCTCTCACCTCTTGTATTGAACCTTCATGCTATTCTGATGCTATCCGACACCCTCATTGGCGTGAGGCTCTTGAAAGGGGGATACAATGTTAGGATTCTACATCGGGATCTCATACCCATCAAGTGGACTTCTTAAACCTAAAAGCTCTCTCACCTATCAGGCTGGTCTTTTGGGTTGGATTCTTCCTTAAGCTTGAATTTTAACAGATCACCTATTACGTTTGTGATTTACAGATGTGATTGGTGACCTTTAATTATCGCAGCCATTATGAAAAGTTCAATGCATTTCCATCCCTTCAAAGTGATGAGATAGCGTAGTCACCATTCATTCTGCATTATGCACGTGATACACGTAGATTAAAGACTATTATCATGAATTATGATGCTCTTTCACACTTCTGTTGTCTTATTCTTAATATAGTGGGCAAATGATTGTGATGAATGAGTTTATTATTAAGCACTAGGCGTAATTAAGCCTCAAAAAATTATTATAAAATACAAGCCATTGACACTTTAATTCTCTTTGAGAGGACACTTTATTTGTCATATTTTCGGCATTAATTGTCTGATTGTGGAGCATGTTGTCATCTGTCACTTCCTCTTACCTAACGTTACCAGAATTTCTACTAACATGGCCGTCTTTGTCACTCACAGATCGATATCATATGAAAACAAAGTAAGATTCTTTAAGATTCTGCAGAAGGGCGAATATTTGTCTTTATGTTGAGTTGAAGATGCTGAGGCTGAGAATGACAAAGAGATACACACAAATTGTTGACTCATCTTCCACTCAGAGCTAGACCCAGCTAATTCAAGTACAGGTTCCATGTGAAAGAACCATTTAATCCACTCGCATGCAACCTCTTTCTCTGTCAAAAATAACCGCGCATGTCATCAGCTACCCTTTTCAGCTTCGATGTACCAAATGATTATGATCTTAATTTCTTGTCACGCTTATAATATCAGCATATGTCAGTTTTTATGATAAAGACATAAAGCCTGGAAGTTTTGTTTCTTTTAATCACCAAGTTTTGTGGCTGTGCTTGCTTGAAAAATGAAGTGATTGAATCTTTTGGGGTAGTATAACAAATTATTTTAGAATCAAAACTCCTTAGCACCAGAATAAAAATGAACTTTGTTTGAATTTATAGCTTTAAAGAGTAAATGAAAAGAACTCAATCTCTGAAGTTCAGCTAACAGAATCCCTAAATAAAATTACCATCACCATCTAAGTCTTCTTGTTAGGCTCAAAGACATACTTAACAATTGAATCTTTAATGGGCAACAGTTCTGGAAACTCTTTCTTTAGCTTGGTGACCTCCAACTCATTGTTACTCCTTGGTACTAAAATCGCCTTGGCCTGCTCTTCCAAGTTAAAATTGGTCCATTCGAATTTGGGGTCTATGTAACGCTTGTACATCTCCAATATCTCATTGTGGCTAACCACTCCTGGATTGGTGAAGTTCCAGATTCCTCTGTAGTTTCTTTTTGCCATTTCAATGGAGATTGGCAGCATCTCATCTAGCACTGTCATGCTATTTGGTATATTGACCACTTTATTGTAACGAGTAATCTTTGTTATGAAGTTTCTCGGGTTGCTAAGATCAGAAGAGATTGGCATACGAACTCTCAGGGTACAGACATTATCATATTCACTAAGTAGCTCCTCAACCTGCACAATTTAGCATTTTGAGATGATTACTTGTAGACATTCAAAGTTTAGCTAATCAAACTTAAAATCCGAACCTAACATATGGATTATGAAATAACTAAGGCTGATAAATTAATTAACACTTTCTCATAAGTTTAATGTTACCATAGCCTTTGTCTTGGAGTAGAAAGAAGCAGAGAAGTTTGGTTTGTCCTCCTCCTTGAATCCGATGCCAGATCCTACTGGATGCTTTTTGTCATACACAAATATGCAGCCAGTTGCAAAGTTCATCATCAGGAGATTGTACTCTTTGCATACATCTGCTAGAGTCAGAGTGCCTACAACATTAGTTGTTATAGTTTTAGCCTTATGTGATTCACACCAATCAACATTAGGCCTCCCAGTAATTCCTGCTGCATTGAACACATGAGTTGGCCCTATTCTCTTTATGTCTTCTATGACTGACAATCTATCTTCCAATCTTCCTCTTCCAAACTCAAACTTGATCCCTTTATCCTTACAGACCTTTCCCAATATCCCTCCTATCCAACCAGTCTTTCCATATATCAAAATTTTCATTTCTGAACCATTAATGCTGTCACTTTCAGTTGTGCGACGACGGTGAAAGAACAATGCATCATCATTGTCGTTTGAGTCAGTGAGCATTGAGATGCAAGGGTGTGGGTTAAGAGCACCAGAAACATCACCCCACCAATGTGGATTCTTAGTGTACCAGTCCATTGTCATTTTTAGCCCTTCTTCCCAAGGTGTTCTTTCTTTCCACCCTAGCCTCTTGAGCTTCTGATCATCCAAGAAGTACCTCTGGTCATTAAAAGGTCTGTCCTGAACAAAATGTATAGTTTCTTCAGGATCCAACTGAAACAGTTTGCATACGTCCTTTGCCACATCAAGGACTGTCCTCTCCTTCTTAGTGCCAACATTGTAAACATGTCCAATCACCCCTTTATGAAGTATGACATCAAATGCCTCAGCAACATCATCACAATGAAGATAGCTTCTTACATTTGAGCCATTGCCATGAATTGGCATTTTCTGGCCTTCCATCGCGAGCAAAATGAATTTGGGGATAAGCTTTTCTGGGTATTGGTTGGGGCCATACACATTATTGCCTCTAGTGGTGATTGTTGGAAGGCCATAAGATCTGTGATAAGCCATGACAAGCATTTCAGCCCCTGCTTTAGTGGCAGAGTAAGGATTTGTGGGAAGGAGTTGAGAAGCTTCAGGATTGCCAATGTCATCGTCCATATCAGTTTCACCATAAACTTCATCAGTACTAACATGAATGAACTTCCTGATTCGTTGAGTGACTTTGCAGGCTTCAAGAAGTACATGTGTGCCAAGTATATTATTATTGGTAAATTCAAAGGAGTTACCAAAAGAATTATCAACATGGGATTGGGCAGCAAAGTGCATAATTGTATCAATATCTTCAGCAACCAAGAGGTAATTAACAAGATCAGCACAAGTAACATCTCCTTTAAGAAACTTGAAATTTGGAGAGGATCGACTAGGCAACAGGTTCCTGAGGTTAGAACAGTAATCTAGCTTGTCAAGGGCCACAATCTTGTAATCAGGGTAGTTCTTGATGAGTCTGTTGGTGACATGGGAGCCAATGAAACCAGCAGCGCCAGTTATCAGGATCTTTTTGGGAACATATGAATCAGGTTGATGCATCATTTTTGCTAGCTCTTTTTGTTGTCTCTCAGAATGCTAACACTAAAGCATAATTAGAAAACACAAGTAATTAAGATGAAATCAAAAAGAGCAATTAAATTTCCACTGGAAAATATAAAAAGCAATAAAGTTAACAAATCTATGATCGTATCTTCATCATTTTGCTCAGCATGAGCTATTTGTATATTCACATTGCAATGGGGCGGAATCGATACAGAGTTTTCATCATTTTAGATCAAAAGTTTTACATAAAATGATGAATAATGTAGACCACGATAAATTGTGAGAACAACAGATGGAGATTGAGGAGGAGAACACTCACAGTAGTTAAGAAAGTGCGTGGATGGAAGACAGAAAAACTGTTGCTGATGAAGCTAAGTTTACGGTTGAACAGAAACGAGGATACAAGTTTAGGGTTGATAGGGAGGGACATACAAGAAGAACACGTGTTAGTAATAGGTTGAAGGGAGATTCAACGCCATGCTACGTGTTGCATTTCGGAGATTTTTCAGACTAATTTGTTAGACACTAAAATTGAGGGCGTATAAATAATGTAGAATTAAAGGACTAAAAGAATTTCATGATTATTAATTAGTAAAACTAATTAAGTTCCAGTTATTATCTCTTCATTTTTGCGTGGATCCTGCTTTTAAAGAGTCTAGATGAACTTGGACCTGCCATCATAAGCACGAAAATAGCAATCTAATTTCATCCCGCCACGTACTAAATATATTTTTATAGTTTCTTGCTGCGTAAGATGCTGCTGTTATACAAAGATCCTTTGTTGATTGATCTTATTGTGCGTTGTGTTACATTGTAAACTTTGCTGGCCGACTTTGGCGACAACGAAAAGGTTTAAGTCACAAATCTCAGAATGAAAATATAAATTAAATTAAGTTTGTTAATGAACATTGTATTAATCCATCATATATTATATGGAATATTCGTATTTCTGTAAGTGGTTCTAGCGCTATAAATAACCTTCCTTCCCCGCAATGAGAGTGCAACTACTTCAAAGCCTTTACATCTACAGAATTAGCTAGCTGTCTGTTTGTTCATTCCCAGCTGCAACCAATGGCATTCCACTTGAAGCATTCTTGCCTAGCCTTCGTTTTGATTATGAGCTTCTACTCATTGGCATCTGCCCAAATTTCTGGAATAGCTACTTATTACACTCCTCCCTACATGCGTAAGCATATTTTTATAACAAAATGCATTTCATGTATTCTGATAGCATGTTTCGTGTAATTATATTGACGTAAGGACTTGCTGTTTGTGTTTGATGTATATATATATTGTATATGCAGCTTCTGCTTGTTATGGGTACGAGGATCAAGGGGTAATGATCGCAGCTGCGAGTGATGTCTTCTGGAACGGCGGAGCTGCCTGTGGGCAATATTACCAAGTAACTTGTGTTAGTGGGACAAACAATGGTGTTCCATATCCTTGTCAAGGAAGCCAATCGGTGACAGTGAAGATTGTAGACTACTGCCCACCTGGATCCTGCAGGGGAACCATTGACTTGTCACAGGAAGCATTTTCCTCAATTGCAGATACAGCTTCTGGTGCTATAAACATTTATTATCAACAGTATGTTACTATAATTGTTATACTAATCTTATGCCTGACACAGTGTTATGATATTTTTTCAGTTAAACTTTATATAAATATATTTGTAATGTTTTAACTATGTGTTTTACTTCATATATGCAGGCTTTGAACTTTGAAGGAATGGACTGAAAATCTTGAGAGATTATTAATTTTCTAAAGTTGGAGAGAGATATATATTGATTGTTCTAGCTGATCCTCGAATCCTTATCAGTAGCAAAGAATAAAAAGTTTATGAATAAGAATTAAATGTTGTTATATATGTCTCTATTTTTCTCTTACATATATATTCTACTTCATATAAGCTTTGCTCGAGCTTCTTCTATAAGCGTGAAGTGCATCTATAACCTTTGCTAATGCCCCTGTGTGAATTCTTGTTGAGTGACGAAGGGGCAAAAAAAAAAAAAAAAAAAAATTAATCATGACAGACAACGCTTTACAAGAACGCCAAATGTGTAAAAGGACACGATAATAGACTATTTTAATTGAAATTTATATTTAATAATATATATATGAAAATTATTACTAGTATGAACCATATATATTGTGATGAGAAGATTATATATCCTATATGAGACTTCAAATGAAGAAGCAACGTAGTCTGAAATTTTTGGCGAGATCAAAAGCTGTTGACATATATGCAGTAATTAACACCCAACTTTCTGGATCAGATCTTTCAGATTTAAATAGCTAGGAATTGAGTTCTGAAGCTGGCCTTGGGACTTGTTAGATGAATTCAAAGTTTCAACTCTTGACATATATATAACAAATTCCTGAGTATCCATGTTGGCGCTACTACATTTATTTGTTTGGACGTGAATCGATCTCAAAGCTAGACTTTCAATCCATGAAAGACCACTACGAGAATTACATGTTCTGTTTGGCTACCTAGAAAATAAGATGAAATCAGAATGGAAGAACTCATCTTTCCTTAATTCTGGGATGTTATGGCAAACTCAGTTTACATGGAAACCTGTTAAAGTTGGGCCTAGCTCCTCATGGTACCAGTTGGGTTGAGCATGCCTATGAATTGGTCAATCACGCAGCTCATCTGGACTAGCTCTAATACCACCTGTTTAAGAATATATGTATATATCTTTAATGTTTCTGCAGGCTTTGAAGTCTAGAAGAAATTGGAAGTTGGAACTGGAAATTTGAATTTATCATTCCATCTGTTATGCCTAAAAAACCAGGGCTAATATAAGCTTACATCAGCAGACACCAATCAGAGTTCAGAAAGGTTTTGCGTCATTTAGATGCTGTCATGTCGCCCTAAGACAGAAAGGATATGACTGTCACCGACTTAGCAGATTCAGAGTTTGTCTATGAGTGAATGAAGACCGCACACTTGTCCAAACCCCAGATAATTTGAGGATATTTCCTAAATTATCAGTCAATAGGAGACAAGGAAAGACTTGTAGGACATCTACCCACTTACAGATTTGTAATCATTACATTGAATTCCACTACTATAAATAGAACACTCCCCCTCTCATTTTCAGGATCTTTTACTTTCATTACTATCAAAAATAAAGACAACCTACGAGAAATAGATTGACTTGATATTCTCTCTGAATACTCAGTTATTGTATCTCTGCTCGCTGTTCGCTACATGCGACTTTTTGTAAAACTCTCATATCTAAAAAAAACAGTGGACGTAGGAATCGCTTTAAGCATCCGAACTATTATAAAAATCATCTGTATCATTTATTATTCAATATTTGCATTCAACTGTGTTTACAACCTTATCCTAACTCTTAAATCAATTATTCACATGTAATTTCTAAGAACAACTTAATACTTTGCACGTGTGAGTCATTGGTATCAAAATTAAGCATCAACACTATTGTTGGAGATATAAGTTAGGTTGATTGATCAATGATTCATTTGATGATTTTGATCTGTATACGTTACTTGTATCAGTGACACAAAGTTGTACCAAATAAAGATGAAAATGCAATTGAATAATTAAATTTTATTGATTACCATCCTTCTGCATGCCCAGATGCACTATATCTTATGAAAGGATTATAATTAATTTTAAAATCAATCGAATGTCTACCTCTAAGTTAAATGTCAACCGATGGAGAGGGTTTAGTTCAATTAATTAATCAGTATGACAACCTGTTATAATAATTAATATTTTAATTATCTTATGGAAATAACTAATAGTAAGTACCCCTTGCCCCTTGGACAGAGCAAAACAAAGGGAAGCAGACACAGACTGTGTGTCAAACCCATATGACTAGTATTTTTTGATACCAAAACTTTGTAAATTTGAGTTTAAATAGTTTTAATTATGATCTAAAGTGAATTCATTGTGGCTAATTTATAATTGATAAACGGGCTCAAAAGCTAACTCAAAAGAGGAGGTCTAACAGTATAAACTAGCTCAAAGAAGGAGGGAGTCAACCATATATATATACTCTAAGAACCCACCAAACTTGACTATTCCATACAAATACAACTTTTAACAATAATGATACATGTATATTGTAAATTTTTTTTGACTGACATTGGTGAAGATTATAATTTATTAAAAAATCGACATAAGAACCTAAATTTTCAACCAGTCTCAGTATCCATCACATCTGATTAAATAGTCAATCTAACTTAATTAAAATGATTCATTGACTCTTTGTACCATTTGGATTAAGATAATTTCATGATTGGTTGAAATTTTAATCAAGTTAACTGTTTCCTACATATATATGTCAGGGCATATGACAAGCTTCCCATACATAAAATTGGAGCCCGATCTTTTGGCAGCTTAGATTTCTTTGTTTGGTGTTAGTCTCCCAGGACACTAAAGTTAATGGTCAGGTATATCTCTAGTAGGTACCCCTTATTAGTAATCGTAAAGATTTGAATATAAAACTTCTTCAGTAGTACATTTAAAAGTCACAAACAAACTGTTAAGCTGGTTGATTTCAGGGTAAAGCTTATAGTCATTGAAGGTTGCCTTGTTTTTGAGTGTTACACTGCTAAAATACAGGTAAATTTTGTGGCATGATATGCTGAAAATACTCTGAATATACCCCCTTTGAGAGTTGCTAAATTTAGTTACATTGTAAACTTCTCAGTTCTCACTTTGAGGGCCTGCATTAACTGGGGCCGAAGTGACTTTGCTGATAACGAAAAGGTATTGAAGCTACAATATCTCAGAAATATACAAATAATTAAACCTTTTAATAATGCTTGTCAGTTGTGAACATTGTATTTATCAAATCTAATATAAAACATGCTAGCATGGTTGAATGGTTTTAACACTATAAATACTTAACCTCCTCTACCTCAACACAAGTATCTACTTCTCTTATTTAATTAGCTACAGCTCTCTTAAAATTCCCTGCAAATCAATGGCATTCCTATTCAGGAACTCTCGCATAGTCCTCCCTCTTTTTTCATTGTTGATTCTGAGCTTCTACTCAACAGCTTTGGCTCAAACTTCGGGAATTGCCACCTTTTACACCCCACCTTACATGCGTAAGCTTTATATATATATATATATATATGTCTGACAAACGTTAATGAATTAATCTTTTCACATTTGTAATCAAGAATGTATTAATTTATGCAGCTTCTGCTTGCTACGGGTACGAGGATCAAGGGGTGATGATTGCAGCTGCAAGCGATGCATTTTGGAATGGAGGAGCTGCTTGTGGGCAATATTACCAAGTAACTTGTGTTAGTGGAACAAACGCTGGAGTTCCATTCCCTCGTTAAGGAAGCCAGTTGGTGGTGGTGAAGATTGTAGATCATTGCCCACCTGGATCCTGCAGAGGCACTATCGACTTGTCACAAGAAGCATATGCCTCTGTTGCAGACACTGCTTCTGGTGCCATTAACGTTTATTATCAACAGTATGTGTTATTGATTTTGCAGGTTTTTGTATATGTACATTTGAGTAATGCTACAAACACCGAAATTTTGTATTGAAGGATATGACAACCAGTTAGACGCGACCACGTTGGAGTATTTCGTGAATGAACGGCCATCCAACATTTATGGAGGCCCGCCCATATTTAATGGACTCCCGTTTATATTACATGGACAGGTGTCCATTTACTATGGATGCCCGTCCAAAATTTTTTAAAAGAAAAATAATGAACGCCCATCCCCATCTTATATGGACCGGTGTCTATTTACTATGGACGAACGTCCATATAAGAATGGACGGGAGTCCATAGTAAATGGATGGGCGTTCACTTAGAATGGACGCTCGTCCATTGTTTAAAATAAAAAAAAATTAAAACAAAAATTATGGACGTCTCTTTTGAATGGACGCCTGTCCATTGTTTGATTTAATTTTTTTTTTTGAAAAGATCAGTTCTGCATGTCATCTCCTGAGCTCTTCACTGTGAAATTTAGACGTATTTGGTGGTTTTTATCTTGCAGATAGTCGAAGTCCTGACATAATCTTTGACTCTTAAGGAGACCCCTATTCCAACCAAAGTTGCTAGGCTCATGCTCGTCTCCGATGTTCTCCATAATAGTAGTGCTCCTGTAAAAAATGCATCTGCTTACCTTACCAAATTTGAAGCAACATTACTTGACAATTGACATAATGGAGAGCTTTAATGACTTGTATCGTATTATAACTGGAAGGATTACTACTGAGGCCCTAAAGGTGAGCAGTAATGGCAACTTTCATTTTGACTTCCTGTTGTATTTTTCATTTGTTCTGCTTTTGGTTTTGATGTGATAATTATTTGAGTTTCGACAGGAACGAGTTTTAAAAGTATTGCAAGTATGGTCAGATTGGTTTCTGTTTTTAGATGCATATGTGAATGGATTACAAGCTACGTTTCTTTGGTCCAGGAATTCAGGTGTGACTTCTTTTCATTCTATCAGTGGTGCAAGAGGAAGAGGAAGAAGAAGATGGACAAGAGTAATAAATAAATTTAAAATTTAAAATTTGTTAATATTAAAAGATGGACGTCCGTCCTCTTATGAGGACAGGCGTCCATAACTATGGACCGTTGTCCTCATAAGAGGACGGGCGTCCATAAACAATTTAGGCCAAAGTTTTTTAGTTTAAACTATGAACGTGTTAGTGTATATTAGTGTATGCCCTATAAACCATTCGTGTTATCGGTTTCAGAGCATTTTGTCTTGTATGTATATATCATAAATAATAGAAGAAAGAGTTCTTCAATTCATATATATAAATTGCTTCATTTATTCAGTCATGCATTTAAAATAAAGTATGTATATGAATTGTCCAGATGATTCATTTAATCGG